CCCTGAACCATAAATCTATTTTGAGCTATACCCAACTACAGGAGGGAACCTAAGGGATACAAATAGGGCATATAGTCCCCCTTAAGTAGATAGAATATGGCTTTGGGTATATTGTAATACGATCCCCATATACCCCAAATTCTATCTACTTAAGGGGGACTATAGGTTTAGGGCGTTTAGGGAACAGCTTGGGCTTTTTTTTTTCCGAGGCTTAAACCCCTAAACACTAAAACCCTAAAACCCTAAACCCTAAGAGCTTAGGTAAGGTCTACTTGCCTTCTCCCAGGGAGCCTTGGAGGCTTGCAGCGCACCCCAAGGAAGATCTGAGATGACTCTCATCTGAGCTATAGTCTAAACTCCTTAAAAGGGGTTACATAGGGGATTATATAGGGTTTAGGATTTAGGGTGTGGGGTTTAGGGTCTCAATTCCTTAAACCGGGTTATATGGGGAATTACATAGGGGACTACTATAGGGGTTGTTAACGGGGATACTAGGAGTTTAGACTACAGCTCATCTGGCGCGAACAGTGTCAAAGAAAATGTGGAACCTACCCTCAAGGGTTTAGGGTTCAGGACTTAGGGTTGAGGGTTTAGAACCTAAACCCTAAAACGCGTAAGAAGCCTAAAGGGAGCTGGGAGGTTGAGGTTTGACTAGAGGGTTCAGAGCAGCTGAGAAGAGGAAATCCTGAACCCTTAAACCCTAAACCCAAAACCTTAAACCCTACAGCCCTAAACCCTAAAACCCTACCCTAGACTCTAAAAGCCTAAACCCTAAACCCTAAGCCTCTTAGTTTCCAAACCTTAAGCCCAATCCCTAAACGCCCTAAACCCTGAATACAAGTCATGTAACCCCAATATACACCCTATAACATCGTAGTTTCCATTTTCTTTTCCACTATCCCTATATGACCCCAATATATACCCTATTATGATATCCTAGTTTCCATGTTCTTTTTCATTGTCCCTATATAACCCCAATACATACTCTATTATGAAATAATAGTTTCCATTTTCTTTTCCATTACCCCTATATAACCCCTATGTAACCTCATTGAAGTAGTCTCCAAAATCCTAGAACTAAAGCCGAACCCTAGCCCGAAATCCTAAGCAGCCAGAGAACCCATTCGCCGCTGCATGGCACAGGGGAGTGTTGCATCCTTCTGGGTTCCTGACTTAGGGTTTAGGGCTTAGGGTTTAGGTTCTGGGTTCCTGGCTTAGGGTTTAGGTAAGGTAATGCCCCCACCCAGTAACAGTCTATATTAGGGGTCCTATTAAGAGCTATTTTTTTACCATGTTAGAATTATTATCCAGCTGTTAGTGCGTGGGGGCAGTATCCAAGGTTTAGGGTTTAGGGTTTGGGGGTTCTTGGCTTGTTAGGTTTTACGGCTCAAGGTTTAGGATTTAGTGTTGAGGATCTAGGGCTGAGGGACTGGGGTCCAGGGTTGAGGGTTCAGGGCTTTGGATTTAGCGTTTAGGATCTTGGGTTTAGGATTTAGGGCTTAGGGTGTAGGGACCGAAAGAAATGGAGATGAGCTAGTCTAAACTCCTGTCATCCGCCGCAATAACCCATATATTACCCGGGTACATGATCCCCCACATAGCCCCTTTAAGCAATTTAGACTACAGCTCATATGGGTGGTTGTCAAAATTATGGTCCCTTCTTGGATCCCTAGTATAATACGGCACCTCATATTTAGGGTACCCGAAAAAGGGACCATCATTTTGACAACCACCCATATAAAGATTGCTA